CAGTGTCTCAGTTACTTGAATTTACCCCTGAACTGTGTCACAGAGCGGGTCCATTCGTTTCCATCCATAAAATAAACAATAAATACATGTGTCCAGAGAAAAGCTCGGATCGCATAATACCTCAGGATACATTGGATATCGCCCAAGGTCTCTATACACCAGAAAGAATGAAAAATTGAAAAAAAATGTCATTTCACAATGCGGAGTGTAAACAAAAAAATGGAGTACTAGCCACACCGAAAAAATGAAATAATTTGACTGTTCACTTTGTTCCCATTTGAAAAAATATTGCACAATCGATTGTCTTTAAATAATTATCAGTAATTATTATTATTCTCAGGACACTTTTTTAATCATTATTGTTTTATGTAAACAGTTGTATAATAACAACAATTAAACGATGAATAAATTTTCTTATATGAAAACAATTGTTTAATAATTACAATTGTTTAGTATTTTACACCCATAAAAATTAATTATTGTTGAACAAATCAATACTCATTTGTTTTTAAATTATTGTCATTAGTAATTATCATTGGCATAAAGTCTTCTGAAAGAACATTGTAATTACAAATGAATAATTATGAGATGATAATAACAAATAAGGATTAATAATTTTCCAAAATTATCAATAACAATTGGAACATTTAATTTGTTAATTTAAAAAATTGATTAAATGGAGTATTTCCCATGCAAAAAAAATATTGTTAATTTTGACCACTTAATTTTTCATTAATTATCATCATTGGAAATAAATAATTATCAGATGACAATGACAATTGTGGGATGATTATTTTTTGTTGGAAATAAAGTGATCAAAAAATTAAAAATCATGTTATCCATTGTTAAAAATTGTAACTGACATTTGAAAATTTATTTTCGTAATTGATAAAAATTCATTCTTCCAATTTCACAATAAATCTTTCAACAATCCTCGTAACGCTTGCTGAATTATCTCCAAAAAAGTAACAATTAATTATATCCAAATTAGCATCATTAATTGCTATTACAGTGGACTTTCCCTAGCTCGTAGCGTTCGGGGGTCTGATTCCAAGAACTCGAGCTAGGGAATTACCACCTCCACATGCGCAGGGACGTGCTTACGCGAGAGAGACAACGTCATTATCTGACAGAGAACGCTGTAACATACCGGCCGATGACACACAACGCTTGCCCTCTCGTGCATGACGTCACTAGTGCGGTGGGGGACACATTCCCCGCCGCTAGGACACGACCCCCGAGCTACGGATAGTAAGAGCTAAGGGAAGTCCACTGTATCGTCATCATATTTTTTCAGAAATTATTGTGATTACAAATAAACAATTATATGGTGACAATGACAATAGAGGAATAATTATATTTTGTTGAAGATAAAGTTATCAAAAAATTAAAAATCATGTTTTCAATTGTCAAAAATTGTAATTGACAATGGAAAATTTATTTTCGTATTTGGAAAAAAATAGGTTTTTTCAATTTCATAATAAATCTTTAAACAATCCTCGTAACCCTGGTTAACGTCCCTGAAATAATTCTCGTCACTAGACAAACGTTAGTAACTAAACCCGCCAGAAGCTAAATTATTACAGTATCTTGGCATAATATCAAACCCGTCAACCAGTCACAACTTATATCCAATGGATTATTGCAACATAATCTTGGCCTACATTAATGAAATGTCTCTGCAAAGGGGAAAACTAACGTGTTAGTTCTGACAGTCGTTGATGGGTGAACAATGTAGAATTGCGCAAAAGGAGGAAGATCACGCACATGACTTTATGTTGCACGTGAAATTTGAAATTGAATCGATACGCAAAGAGAAAAGTTGGATAAAAATTACATAGAGAATCGCGGCAGATTTTACTGTACGAAAGGTAATTGCAGAACGCAATGTAATTAAATGAAAAAATTCCTGTTTGTGGAGGATATTTTACGATTCGTTCGGTAACAAAACCTACCTATAGAGGAAAAAATTATCCTGTACAGTAAAATTTAAGGGCTTATTCACTGCCGAATATCGTGATACAATGATTGCTCATTTCAAGTGATTTCAAAGTGATTTCACGTGACTTCAAAAAATTTCATCCCCGATTTCATTATTTCAAATAATTTCACATGTTTTCAAATGATTTCAAATTTTTTATTTCACCCATTTGCGCAATTGCCTCAGGGCGACGGAACAAAATAAGATCTTGTGAATTGCGAACAAGTTGGAACGGGGAACTCATTTTACAAGGGACAATGAAACGGATCGAACTATCCCTTTTTGTCATTCCGGCCGTGAGGCAGCGCTTCACGGACGCTCCGCGTCCGTGAATCTCTGCCTACGGCCGTCATAACAAAAAATACTGTTCGTCATATGGCAAAAAAAAACTTTTCTAGCTCATATGATTGCAGCCCTCGCCTTCGGCTCGGGCTACAAACTCATATTCGCCAGAAAAGTTTCTTTCGGCCTAGTGACGAAATATACTATTATATCATCTCGTCTATCGCTCGACTACGCGTATCCTACGACTGTCCCTACACGGAGAGAAATGTTCAGTAAAAATTACGGAACTCATAATTCGCTCGCCGATTACGGAATCGACTTGGAAAGTTTAAGTGACGGTATCGTAATTTTTTACAGGAAATTCAGATAAAAATTACGGAACGCTGTGGAAAAATTCCGTGTGAGTTCCGTAAAGTTTCCTACAACCACATTTCGCTCCGGAATTACGGAAAAGATACGTAATTTTTATTGAATATTTCTCTCCGTGTAACAACATTAACCCCACAAGGACAGAAATGTTCAGTAAAAATGACGGAACTCACAATTCGCTCACCGATTACGAAATCGACTCAGAAAATTTAAGTGATGGTAAAGTGACGGTTAACAATTACGGAACGCTCTGTAAAAATTCCGTGACAGTTCCGTAAAATTTCCTACAACCACATTTCGCCCTGGAATTATGGAAAAAATACGCCATTTTTATTGAATATTTCTCTCCGGGCACTCGTATTAAGATTTCCCTTTTTTCACACTTGTAACGTAGGGGAGGATGGGGTAAAATGGACACTTTAGACTTTTTTTTAATTATTCAGAACTCAGAAACAAATTTATCAATTCAGCTCAGTTTAGGCTCGTCACAAAGGGAAAGAACTGTTCTTTGTATTGAACAAAAATATATTGGATTTCACCAGCATGTCAACACCTCATTAACATTTTTAAAAAAGTCAAAAGTGTCTCTTTTACCCCAACCTCCCTTAATATACAATTTTCTTTGTTTTCTATACGTTTCAAAATAAAATTTCTCATTTTACAGATTTGGTGATTGCAAATGATTTCAAGTGATTTCACTGATTTTAAATGATTGCAAGGGATTTCATATAAAATCATTTACACCTGGTGACATCACATGATTTCACTGATTTTGTGCGATGTCAACTGATTTAACGTGATTTCAGAATAGATTTCATGAGATTTCATTGCAGAGTGACACCGTGATTTGACCAGTGAATAACCTCTCGGTAAAATTCCCACCACCGGTAGGGTATTTGTTTTTCTTGCGCCCATCTGAAAATTATGGGGACGAATGGAAGTGAAATTTTACCTACCGGACTGTTAGAAAATTAGTCCTAAAATTTCAAGTAAAAAATCTTGAAATTTTCAACAATCACTCATTCACACGAAATTTTCATGTATTTTGTTATTGAAAAATCCGAAGGGCTGGTCACGCCTCACTCGAGTGACCCAGTAATTTCCAGAATCACATGAATTCTTTTGATTTCCTGTTGATTTCTGTGATTTCTCGAATGATCTTTGTGATTTCTCAATCAGCATTATAAATCATGATTTCTTTTGATTTCTTGTGATTTCCATGATTTCTATAGTAGATTCCAATGAGTTCTTGATCTCAAGAAATCATTTAAGAAATCATGATTTCGGGGCCAGAGTGAGGCATCTGTCGATAATGACAGTTCTACGTGAGGATACCAGAAACTTCATCTGTCACATTTCAGGATTAGGTGATGTCGAACGCACCGACCATAGCAAAAATTGTAGAATTGAAACTGCAAAATCAATTTACACTTATCGATGATTTCTAATGATTTCGGAAATCACCTGATTTCTTTATGATTTCTATTGATTTCCGACGATTTCTAGAAATCTTTAGAAATCACTACCGAAAATGGAAATCACTTGATTTTCATTGATTTCTGGTGATTTCTTCCTTGATCTCCAGTCGAATGGTCCAGTGATTTCCTAAGTGACTAGCCCCTCGGAAAAATCAGTTGAATTCTGGAGTATTCAATGGAATTGCAAATATTCAGGTCCACATTATAATAAAAATTATTAAATAATTTGAAAATTCTAGATGTCATTGAAATATTAGTGATAATCTAACCCGAAAAACCCAATTATCTTGAATTTCCAAACTGAATGAGAGATTCCATGATCGATTTGATCTTAAACTGAATTCAAAATCACCAATTTAGAATTCAAGTCCAACTACTGCTTAATTTTCAAAAAAATTCTAACAGCGCGTTCGCTAAAAATCATTCTCCGTTACAGAAAAATTATACGCAATATTGAGCAGTCATTCACGTTCACTGGAATAATTTTTTATGGAATGCAGGGTAAATTTTACAGCTTTGGCACAAATTACCCTGACATTCAGTAAATTTTCCCGAACAGAGAAAAATTCACTATTCGTCTCGCAGTCTATTCCCGATACAGGGTGAAAAAGCACTGAAAGTCGAGTTCGCTCCACGATTATTTGACTTGTTCGAAATATTTCGTCAACTTTTTTCTCCGCGTGAGTTTGGTCCGGGGGGTGCGATTGACAATCGAGATGACAACTGACCGAGTGACCCACGCCCCGGGGAAAAGGGGCGCGTGACAATGCTCCAGAAACACATGTCACATGCAGAATTTCGGGTTTCTTTTGGTCGAATCAGTTGGGAGGGGATAACTGGTACAAAATATTTTGAATAAAATTGGGTTTTTAGTGGAATGAGCTTACCACCTTGTTTACGAACGGGCATTTTGGAATCAGCTGGCGTCAGGTGTCCTTGTGGCACAGGGGGTTGACGGAGAAATTGACGGAATACACAAATGGAGCTGTCAGACACACACTAAAAACCAAAACAGTAAAGCACAAGGCCACACACGCACCTCCCGTTGAGTTATTTTCTCGCGATTATTTCTCGCAAGTGATCAATGAAATTTAGCACTTGAGTGACAACGGGTAATTATCAATGACACGATGGGATCGACTGTTGATTTTAGGGGGGTTTACGTGCACTCACGGTTTATTTAATTCGCGGTATTGCCCAGTGAAGAAAATAACGCACGATAAAACGAATATAAACACACCGCGGGCGACTGGGCAATATGGCGGTAGCGCAAGTTCAGCCTTGCCGGAACAAACTGAGGTATTGGGATATTTGATTGGTCGATTGCGTCGTGTGACGTCAGTCAGAGACGCTGGGGCGCCGCGACGGCGGTGCTTGGCTGTCATGTTTTTTCATCCCCCCGGGGTTTTTCGGATTCGTACTGCGGTTATCGGACGAGCTTGTGAGGTTTAGCGGTTAGGGTTTCGCGGCTTCTCACAGGGGGCAGCACCTCTTGGAGGAACTGTGGGGCGCATTCTGGTGGCGATTCACGGAATTTATTGAGGAGGATTGTTGTCGGAGTTTTTGAGAGAGCGGTGTGGGCAAAGAGGATTGACTAAAGTAGAGGCTCAGATCTCGGAGTTCAAGTGACCCCAAGCCAAAAATAGTATGACCCCAATGGAGGGATGGCGCCACGGTCGAATCTGACGACTAAGGTATGATACAGGGAGGTATAGTGAAGCTTTGATGTCGCCGACACCGAAACAGGGGACAAGTTCCAATGGAAGCCACGCGCGGCGCTGTTGCGTCCTTTCCCTCACGCGGATTAGATCTCCCACCACACGCCGATTTTACTTGCGTCGCGAGTTCAAATCTCCGTCAAATCAATTTTTTTTTTCATGACAGAGAAATAGTATATTTCGTAACGAGTGCAAAAAAGTGGTTTTTGGCGAGTGGGGGGTTTATATCACGATCCAAAAACCACTTTTTTAACGAGTTACGAACAAAATTTTTCATCACAATGTGTCGGAAAGTTACTTCTCCGATACAGCGTGATGAAAATAAAATTTTGTGTTCAATCGAGAGGAACAGGATTAAAAAATGTTGAGATGAAAACTATATGATTCTCAGCAAATAGTTCTATGGGATCGAGCGATAAAGATTGACTGAGAGTCATGTCGACTAGACGATTGAAATACTAATTAGAAGGAAGAATAATTAACATCAGAAGTCCATTTAATTAATTATTCCTCTTCTCTTCAGTGAAGCTTAATAGGGAAGAATTTGGAGGGATGGGATTACGATAATGAGGATCCCAGTTTGAACTATGTTTTTTAATGTTTTCTTCTATGAACAAGTTTTGAAAAAGATACGAGGGTCATAATGGTCACGAGGGGTGAATTAAATGAAGTACAAGGGATTTCAAGAGCCACAAAAGAAAAAAAAAAGACCCAACTATTCACTTACGCACCTCACACAAATAACAATCGTTCTTTGACACTTGATCACTCGGTAGCAAATCACCGCTTTTTTCCAGCCATTGTCGTCGCTTCTCAATTTTTTTCACACTGGGAAGGGAGAAAAAACGATAATTATCCCTAGAAGATGCTTTGCAATTTATAATTGCACACGATTTAATCATTTTACATGAATCAACTCGCACAGACTGTTCAGATCTATTGGAGTACGTTTTGGAGCAGACATAAACAAACAACATTCGCGAGATATTTTCGCGCGAAAAATAAATATTGTTCAACATTGGACAAAAATGCATTTTCATTTTATTTTTAATGCTATTACATTGAGCAGTGATTTCACTCTCAATCTTGGTAATTATTTTCAGTAAAAAAAGAAAGAATTCACCTATTATAAGATAAAAATCACCCCATTAATGAAAGAGTGAGCGGGCCATTGACTATTAAAGAAATAGTACATGAAAAACCATGAATATCTTTGAATTTTTTTATTTTTCTTGTACATGTAATTTCATACGGGGCTAATTATTTTGACTTAAAATATAAATTTCATAACGTTCCCTCCAGCAAAAAAAGTGCCAGTGGTGGGAGACTAAAGGAGATGAGGGGAAGCGTAAGTCGACCGGAACGGCGCTCCGGCGAACTTGTCCCCTGTCTTCTGGCTTCATCATACCTGCTTGTATCATACCTTAAGTCGTCAGTAAGGTATGATTTATTAAGTCGTCAATAATTAGCCCCGTATGAAATTACATGTACAATGCGAAGAAAAATAAAAAAATGCAAATATATTCATGGTTTTTCATGTACTATTTCTTTAATAGTCAATGGCCCGCTCACTCTTTCATTAATGGGGTGATTTTTATCTTATAATAGGTGAATTCTTTCTTTTTTTACTGAAAATAATTACCAAGTTGAGAGTGAAATCACTGCTCAATGTAATAGCATTAAAAATAAAATGAAAATGCATTTTTGTCCAATGTTGAACAATATTTATTTTTCGCGCGAAAATATCTCGCGAATGTTGTTTGTTTATGTCTGCTCCAAAACGTACTCCAATAGATCTGAACAGTCTGTGCAAGTTGATTCATGTAAAATGATTAAATCGTGTTCAATTATAAATTGCAAAGCATCTTCTAGGGATAATTATCGTTTTTTCTCCCTTCCCAGTGTGAAAAAAATTGAGAAGCGACGACAATGGCTGGAAAAAAGCGGTGATTTGCTATCGAGTGATCAAGTGTCAAAGAACGATTGTTATTTGTGTGAGGTGCGTAAGTGAATAGTTGGGACTTTTTTTTTCTTTTGTGGCTCTTGAAACCCCTTGTACCTCATTTATTTCACCCCTCGTGACCATTATGACCCTCGTATCTTTTTCAAAACTTGTTCATAGAAGAAAACATTAAAAAACATAGTTCAAACTGGGATCCTCGTTATCGTAATCCCATCCCTCCAAATTCTTCCCTATTAAGCTTCACTGAAGAGAAGAGGAATAATTAATTAAATGGACTTCTGATGTTAATTATTCTTCCTTCTAATTAGTATTTCAATCGTCTAGTCGACATGACTCTCAGTCAATCTTTATCGCTCGATCCCATAGAACTATTTGCTGAGAATCATATAGTTTTCATCTCAACATTTTTTAATCCTGTTCCTCTCGATTGAACACAAAATTTTATTTTCATCACGCTGTATCGGAGAAGTAACTTTCCGACACATTGTGATGAAAAATTTTGTTCGTAACTAGTTAAAAAAGTGGTTTTTGGATCGTGATATAAACCTCCCACTCGCCAAAAACCACTTTTTTGCACTCGTTACGAAATATACTATTTCTCTGTCATGAGAAAAAAAAAATTGATTTGACGGAGATTTGAACTCGCGACGCAAGTAAAATCGGCGTGTGGTGGGAGATCTAATCCGCGTGAGGGAAAGGACGCAACAGCGCCGCGCGTGGCTTCCATTGGAACTTGTCCCCTGTTTCGGTGTCGGCGACATCAAAGCTTCACCATACCTCCCTGTATCATACCTTATGACGACTGGGCGAGCTGCCTGTGCCGGTAACTCGGCAGTAGCAGTGAGTAGCAGTCCCGCTAATCCCGCTGTCAGACGGATAGTTTCGAAGGGGAATTTATGCTCTCCTCGTCCTCAACATGTTCTTAATGTTTTTCAGGTGATTCATTTGCTAGCTAATTAATATTAAGGA